TAATTCCAGGGTTTGAAAACAGCCTGTCATGTTCCACTAAAGCAGTGGTTCTCAACCTTGGCTGCACATTAGAATCACCTGGGAATCTTTTTAAAATCCTGATTTCTGGGCCTCATCCTCCGGAAATTCTGTTTCTTTGTTATGGGGTGGGGCCACAAAATACCACGTGCAGGCACGCACGTACAGTGTGACTGAAACTTCGTGGCCCATGCGCAGAAGTCGGTATGGAAGAGCCACACTCAAGGGGCCAAAGAGCCGCATGTGGCTCGAGAGCCGCGGTTTGTGGAGCCGCAGTTTGCCGACCACTGGGTTAGAGCATCGTCCCGATGCACCAGGCTGCAGGTTCCATCCCCTGTCGGGGCACATCCAAGAACCAACCAATGAATGCCTACACACGGAGAACAGCAAATCAATGTTTCTCTCTCCCTCTCTCCCCTCATTTCTCTCTAAAACCAATCAATACGGTTTTTTTTTGTTGTTTTTTTTTTAAAAAGGCAGTCAACAAACGAACCAAAAAGAGATCATTGTGCATTATGATAATTATGAAGGTAGTGAGCAGAGATGTGATGCAGACTAACTGTATGGTGTCGCGCCAGCACAGCCAGGTTCGGTGAGCCTGAGAGGGGGCAGTGAAGAATTAATAAAAGACAAGACAAGCTCTAGCGGTTTCGGCTCAGTGGATAGAGCATTGACCTGGGGACTGAAGGTCTCAGGTTCGATTCCGGTCAAGGGCACATGCTCAGGTTGGGGGCGAGTCTCTCTCATCATTGATGTTTCTGTCTCTTTCTCCCTCTTCCTTCCTCTCTGAAATTCATAAAAATATTAAAAAAGAAAAGACAGACAAGAGAAGAAAGCTGGGTCTGGGTGTGACGCTGCCCTCTCTGATGGAGAGACAGCGCCACGGCCTGTAAGCCGAATCTTTATTTTATAGCCAGATTCCACGACGCAAAGTAAGGGCATGGTCAAGATGTTTACAACATTCTCCTGGGTTTCAAATCTACTCAATTACATGCACCGGATCAAGCTTGGTTTACTTGCTGCACCTCCCGCAGCCCCTATCACTCAGCCACGTGGGACCACAGGTTCGGACCATAAGGTCAAGCTCACAACTATCGCCTTTGGCTAAAATTGTGCTGGGACTTGCACGTGGCTTTGCCACGAGAGGATCGTGCCCTCTCATTAGGCCCAGGCTTGAGCCTGTCCAAACGCTGTAGCCGCTCTCCACAATGTAGTATATTAGAAGTGATATCAAAGGCTGTTCTGAAAAGGTGACGCTTAGAGATTTTTGAAGAGATCCAAAGCTTTCTCTGTCCAACTTCTAACCCAACTGGAAAATAAGATGAAAAAAGCAACAAATGGAGAATCTAAAGAGCACGTCAATTACTGACAAAGTCTAGGTTAGAGGTCATAACTTAGTGTGAGGGTCGGAGGAGGAATGGGTTTCCGTGACAGATTATTTCAAAGGTGGCCATTCTAAGACCTGCCGTTCCACATGCTCTTCCATGTGACACTGGGAGATGCGGTCCGTGTTCCCGCCCTTGGGGTCCAGGTGGGTCTGTGATGGTGGAAGTGATGTTGCCTGACTTCTGAGGCCAGGTCAGAAAAGATGTGCAGCGTCCTCCTGGTCCTCCTGGGACATTCCCTCTTAGAACCCAGCCAGCCAGCCCTGCTGTGAAGGCGCCCACGCTGCCCGGGGCCCATGGTGAGGCCCAGTGAGAAGGAACCTGCCCTCCAGCCCACAGGCCTGGCTGCGCTCCCAGCCAAGAGATAGGCAACACCAATTTACCAGCCAGGAGACTGAGCCATTTGGGAAGTGACTTTGCCAAATCGGAGTCACGTGACCCCAGCTGATGCCTCCTGAAGCTGAGATGAGCCACCTTCTGTGAGCTCTGCCCAACTGTAGGTTTGTGAGCAAATTAATGGTTTTTTGTTATTTTTCAGTCGTTACATTGGAAGGCAGATAATAACTTATACACGCATTTCCCCGGGCTAGACTTTGGAGCAGTCTGCCGGAGGGAACGTGTGGGTCCTCAAGTCCGTGTTCCAAGGGGAGAGGGAAAAAATGAAATACCCTGTGTTTAGGATTTGTGATAGATTCGCTGCCGAGTTGATAAAAATGGATCAATGGCAAGGAACTCATTCAGGTTTTCCTGAATTTTTCCAGTTTCAGCTGTGAAAGACCCATGTCACATCCTGGGCACTCACTCCTTCAGTCTCAGGGAACCAGCGTGGTGGTCGCCCTAGCTGCCCTCCATCAGGTGACTCATCTCGCCTCCTGCGGTGGAAAGAGGCCCGGGTATTCGGGGAGCATTCCCCTCTGCTGAGAGCATGATTAGGAAAGACTGTGCCCCTAATAGTAACTTTTGAACTGGAAGCTCGAGGAGCCAGCCATGCAAAACCCAGGAGGAAAACAGCCCAGGAAGAGGGGGGACCAGATACAGACGCGAGGAAGGCGAGGGTTTGAGCTCTGCCAGCGCTGCGGCCACAGCAAACCTGGCGGGACTGGAGTTCCGGATGGAACTGTGGGAGGAGGAAGTAGAAGCCCCTCAGGAATGGCTTTATGAACCACAGCAGAGGGTACCAATTTCCGTTTAAGAAAACTGGGACGACACTGAAGGGTTTTAAGCAGGGGCGTGCTAAGATCCGAGTTACATCTCTCAAAAGCTCGCTCTGGCTACAGTCTGAAGAATGGTTTGATAGGATCAGAGTGGAAACAGCCAGGCCAGGGAGGAGGTAAGGCATGAGAGAGGCTTAGTTTAGGATGTGGAACCAACGGGTCTTATTGATGGGTTGGAAACAGGGGAGCCATCCTTAGCGAGCACCAGATGACCAGTGGCGCAATCTGCAGAGAGAGGGGCGCTGGAGAATGCGTCTGTTTTAGGCTTCTGTCTTACGTGTTAAGTCTGAGAGGCCTTTAGGGCATCCAGTGGAGACATCGGGTAGGCAGTGAGAGCTGGCGTGGGAGTTCGGGGGTGGGAGTGGGGGGTCAGGCTGCCTGGGTTTGAATCCAGACTCTTCCACCAACGATATGACCTTCGGCAAGTTACTTTCTCTCTGTCTCAGTCTTTGTCTCTGTCCAATGGAGATAACAAAGTAACTATTGGAGAAGTAGGTCTTTGTGACAAATAGTAACACATAGGAATCGCTCAGTAAATGTCGGCCGTTAATGTGTTTGAGTCTAGAGCTCATGGAGGGGTCAGGAATGGACATTTAACTCTTGGCCTGGATCACAGCCTGGGTTCCGCGCCCGTTTGGGGTGAGAGGAGGAGGAGCCCCGAGGAAAACAGGCGAGCGGCCAAGGGAGCCTGGAGGGACTGGGCTCCTCCGAGAGAGTGTCCGGGCACCCCCGCCGCACCCCCTCGCGCCGCCCGCCCCGCCTCCGCGGCCCAGCACTTAGGGCCGAGCGCACGCTGCTCGCCCT